GACTCCACCGGTTCGGGTTGTGACGATGTTGGCGCGTACTTATCTCCACAAACATCCTTGAGGGAAGGACCATACAGTCCCTGGTTTCCCTCGTAGGAAGAGCAGTTTTGTCGCTGAAACTGTGTGTCTTGTGGTATTGAACCTACAAGCTGATTATGTGAAACGTTTATCCATGCAAGAGAATGCAGGTCTCCAACCCCACTAGGAATCTCACCTGAAAGCTTGTTTTGGGATAAGTCCAATGACTCGAGCTTTGTCAGGTTTTCCAGAGATGTTGGGATGTTCCCTGTGAAACCATTGCTTGACAAATTGAGCACACGAAGTCGTTTTAACAAGCCAATAGATTCAGGAATATCTCCTTGGATTTTGTTTCCCGAAAAATCAATGGCTGTTTAGATTGTGAGGATACGTGTCAACTCCATTTCTGTTCCCTTGCTCATCAGAATCAATGAATCGTAGTTAGCGTAGGAATCAGGGTTATCCCCAAGGTATTCCAATCCTGTATCATCTCCACCAATGTACATTGCCTTCAAATTTGTAAAATAATCAGATCTTAAAGTTCCCGTGAAGTGATTATGTGATACATCAATGATCCTCAGATAATTGAATCCAATAGCAACTTGGGGATGATGTAACACGCCATGGAACTCATTGGAGCGGAGGACAAGAACTTGTAGCTTTTGCAAAGAATTCAACCAAAAGGGAAAAGTGTCGTTGATTTGGTTGTTTCCCACGTTCATAATTTCAAGGCTTGAGCAGCCACTCAAAGATGTTGGAAGCTTCCCTACCAATCGGTTGTGACTGACGTCAAGTGACCTTAACAATGTGGCATTGAAAAATATGTCAGGAAGACTTCCGCTGAGGCTATTGCTATGGAGATTCAGATCATAAAGAGAACCCATCTCTAAACACTGAGGAATCGAGCCGTGGAGGTTGTTTTTTGACAGATCAAGGAGGTTTAGAGAGCTTAGTTCACACACTGATTGAGGTATCTCTCCGGTGAAGTTATTCTTAGAGGCCATATAAAATTGGATAGATCTTGATGGGATGAAGATTGGTCCTTGAAAAGCATTTGAGCTTATATCAATAGTGTAAATATGATTCCCCGGAAAAGCCTCCAAGGATCCCTCGAAACCGCTGAAAGAGTTGTTGGAAAGACCAAGAGCATCCAACTCTCGTAGTCTCCACAACCAATCTGGCACTTGACCTTTGATCTTGTTGTTGGAAAGGTCTAGGGCCTGTAGATTTCTTTGGTTTCTTATGAACTCAGGGAACTCAGTGATGTTGCAGCCTGACAAGTACAACTGTTCCAAGTTGGATAGAAAATCAGAAGTGAGGTTTGCTGTTGAGAGAGGGTTGTTTGAGAGAGATAAGATGAATCGCTGTTTGAGAGGCGAGAAGACATTTAAGTTAACTACTCTGTAATTGTTATTGCCAATGATTAAATATCGTAAATCAGGTAACAGAGAGAGATTCTCAATCCCAACGAGATCGTTGAGTTGGTTATGTTCCAAATCGATGTCGGTCATTGAAGAACTCTTGAACAAGGAATAAGGAAATGCTCCCGTAAAAGAATTACGAGAGCCCCAAAAAGTCTCTAACTTGGAGAGTTGGCTAATGTTAGGTGGAAAGAAACCTGTGAACTGATTGAAATCGAGATCGATCAAACGTAGTTGTGTCAAATTTAGTAGTGAGGAAGGAATGTTTCCGCTGAGCTTGTTATACCCAACCCTAAAGTCAATCAATTGTTTAAGATTGCCAATTGAAGACGGGATTTCACCAGTGAAATTATTATTAGAAAGATCAAGATAGGAGAGATGAGAAAGATTCCCAAGTGAAAATGGAATCTTCCTGGAGAATTTAGAGCCAAGAAGTTCCAAAGATGTCAAATGTTTGAGGTTGCTGATGGAGTTAGGTATGATACCTGAAAAGGATGTGAAGGAAAGGCTCAAGATTTGGAGAGAGTTATTTCCAAGGAAATTGGGAACATTTCCTCTTAGATTTATATTGTTGTCCAAGTTAATGGACTCTAAGTTGGGCATTAGAAGAACACTGCTCGGAAATTCTCCAAACAGGTTGTCTCTCAAAACTTAGCGATCTAAGAGAAGACATGTTTGAAAGCTCATGGGGAATTTTTGAAGAAATGTTTACGAGGCTCAAACCTAGTTCTCTGTGGTTCCTCAAGTTTCGAGCAAGTAGAGGAAGAAAAGATTCATCAATGGAAAGAGGATTTGGAGGAGGCTCAGAATAAAGATCAAGAGACACCAACTTGGTCAGCTGAAGAAGCTCTGTTGGAATTTGGCCTGAAAGTGAAGTGTGAGAGAGGTTAAGTCTTTCTAGCCCCTTGAGTTTATTAAACTCAGCTGGAATGGGGGAAGTGATGAAATCGTTGTAAGCGAGATTTACATCACGTAGATGATGCAGTCTAAAAAGACTACTGTTGGACTCGAGCCGGCCGTAGAGACAACTGGCTGTAAGGTTTAGTCCGATCACTTCGCCAGACTTGGCATCGCACGTGATACCATCCCAAGAACAACAATCACTGTTATTCACCCATGATTCTGTTTTCGGATAAGAGTGGATATCCAAAAACCAAACCTGATCGAGCTTCTGAATCGCAAACTCAGTCTTGAACTCAAGAAGAGTATCTCTTTGGTCGGGATGACACAAGTGCCGTGTAGAAGAAGAAAACGTGTTTATGAAATTTGAAACGAGGAAAAGGAAAAATATGGAACGAAGAAGAAAACTCATTTTCTGATTAAATAAGAGCATTTTTAGATTTGTGAAGGCAAGTAATATTTAAGTAGTGATGATGATAAATTAGTGTTGCAGGTCACTACATATATATACAACACAGAGCGCCATCGACTTGATGGTTTTTTTTGATGAAAATTCTTCCCTACTAAAAGTCTATCTGGAGTCTTCCTAGAATTGAATAGCAAAGCAAGATTGTGACTACTAAGAGCAAATCTTGACGCCAAAAAGGCAAATCTTGTTTATAAATTTTAAAACCAAGAGCAAAATTCACTGTCAATAAGCAAACAAAAATTGTAGTTTAATGAGGGATAGTAGAAAAATCAAAGTGCCGTGTAGCTCAAACTACTTCAGAAGGGTCCTAGTGGTCCATGAAATGTTCTGGAAGTAGTCCTCTGTCCAATTCCAACGTAAAGCAAACGTCAATAAATATTGCATTTTTGTAAAATTTGTATTGCCTCACACTGTATATTAGAAATCAAATTAATTACTTTTTATGAACAAAAACCATACTTTTCATATCATTTAAAAGATAAAGATCAAAAGAAAACACAATACATGCAGGCTAGAGAGCCTAATTCAATAGCGAATGGATTTGACGATTTGTATATGTAAAATTTGCTGAAGATGAATCCTTGAAAAGTGTCTTGGTGTGTTTTGAGAAGTGAAGACTGTGAACTGAAACAGAGTTTTATTATGAAAAACTGTGCGTTTTACTGATACAAGTAAAACGCTGCGCATTGGCTAATATAACAAAACTCTGCGTTTAACCTCTCGGTGTCTCTTCTTTTAGTAAAACGCTGCGGACAGATGGAAAGACAACTCTGCTTCACTTCGTGGTACAAGAGATCTCTAGGTCTGAAGGAATCAGAGTTTCAGACAGCATCATGGGACGGATCATGAACCAAAGATCAAACAAAAACAGAACATCCGAGGAGAAAGAGGAAGATTACAGAAGGATGGGGCTCGATCTCGTCTCGGGTCTAAACACAGAGCTAAGAAACGTGAAGAAGACGGCAACGATTGATCTGGAAGGACTAGTTAGCTCGGTGTCGAATCTGAGAGACGGGTTAGGGCAATTGAGGTGTCTAGCGAGCGAGAAGCTGAAAGGGGATAAAGAATACAGAGCATTTGTTAGTTCGATGAGCTCGTTCTTGAGATACGGAGAGAAGAGTTTAGAGGAGTTGAGGGAAGACGAGAAAAGGATAATATGGAGAGAGTTGGAGAGATTGTGTTAATGAACGTTTATATATATTTGCAAATGGGTAGTTTAGTCATTTACTTTACATCTAATTAGGTTTAATAGCTTGTATAAATATGTAGCCTCCGGGCATCTTCATCGATAACACAAAACTTTTTATTCATCCTTTTGGTTTCTGACATGGTATCAGAGAAATACCTAAAATCATACAAGTTGTTTAGCTATTGTCGATCCTAGGCTATTATTGCCCTCTGATTTCTTTCTCTCTCTCGTTTGACTTTCTCCTCATTCGATTATTCTATCGTTTTAGAGCTTCTTCTCTCATGTCATGACGAATCAAAGTAAGATCGTTGCTCT